ATGGAAAACAAATTCACCTAGCAGAGGCCAGGTATTTCTAGTGGTGATGGTGATTGATATTGAAGAAGATGGCCAGAATGGAGGTACCATGATCTGGAAATGGCCAGGAAATGATGAGAAGGCCTGTCTGTAGAAAAGATAAGGTGGAAGCATAATTATTTGACTTTAGAGGCTCTCCAGAGGAGTCCAGGTGTCTCTAGAGGGAGTGGGTTGAGGAGAATGGATGCAGTGAGAGGCACTGTTTCCAGGAATAGAGAGATGATCCTACCACTATTCTCTGCCTTCATCAGACCTTATCTGGAGATTGTGTTCTGTCCTGGGCACATATGAAGGACACTGATGAGTTGAATAATATCCAGAGGAGGTTATCCAATATAGTGAAGGGCCTTGAGCTCATCTCATATGAGGATTAGTTTAAAAAATTGGGTCTATTTAGTCTGGAGAAGAGAAGACTGGGGATGGATGGGAGTGGTACAAGATAGCTGTCTTCAAATACTGAAGGGCTGTTATATATAGGAGGGCTTAGATTTATTTTGCTTAGTCCTAAAGGGCAAACCAGCAGCAATGGATTCTTCTTGTTGCCAAGTCATTTTTTATTTGTGTCCTACTCTTTGTGACCCCATTTGGTTCTTTCTTTTTTTTGGCAAAGATAGTAGTGTGATTTGTCATTTCCTTCTGAAGTTCATTTTACAGATGAGGGACTGAGATGAACAGGATTAAGTGACCTGACTGGGGTTACGTAGCTAGTTAAGTGTGGGAGGCTGGATTTGAACTCAGGTCTTCCTGACTCCAGGCCCAGCACTCTCCCCACTTTGCCACCTAGCTGTCCCAATGGGTAGAAGACAAAAAATATAAATTTAAAAAATATAAATATATTTATACAAACATAAATTTAAAAAATATAAATTTAATCTTGATAACAGAAAAAAAATTCCTAAGCAGAGTGGGATTTCTTTGAGAGATGGTAGGTCTTCCATCCTTAAGGGTTCTCAAGTAGAGGACAGAGAACTACTATGTGATAATGGGGATTCCTTCTGGGTATCAGTTAAACTAGATGCCTGTGAGGTTCCTTCCAACTCTCAGATTCTGTGATCTTTAAGATGCCATTAAATGCAAAATCCTTTGACATTATGGAAAATCACGATTTCACAGATCCCCCAAAAATGAGCTATGATTGGCCTGGTATAAACCAGACCTTCTAGTGACAAATGATGATATTTTTCCCTTCCAAAGATTCTTTATGCTTAGGCGCAGATCTATTTGATGACATGGTCAGCTCTCAGACTCCCAAAATGGCACTCCCCTACCACATTCTGTTCATTTATTTCATAGCCAAGTTATTTTGTCAAATCCAGGTGGAGGAATGTAGGTTAACGAGCAGTTTAAGCATTAAGAGGGAGTAGTGTTAATCTTCATTGACTGAAATGCAACTCTAGATCTGTCAGAACCAATTATTTTCACTGACTCAAGTGGCTTCCAAATGGGAAACAAAAATACACTGTTGGCATTTGTTGCTATATCTCCTGTCATTGGACATTGCTCAGCTGCAGGTGAACTTTCAAGGTTATTTTGCCAAAGGATTGCAATGAATTAGGAGAAATATTTTTTTTGGGGGGGATGGTAGGAGCTAAAAGACAGCCAGCTAACACTGGCATTTGAAACCAATACTCAGATCTTCCTTCTTTAAAATCTAGCACTGGAATGCTAACATCTGGGGAAGTTATTGCACACCAATTAAAAAAGTGCTATCAAAACAGAGGAGGGAGAATTTAGAAACCAAACATGCTTCCTTTCTCTCTCATTTGACACAGATAAGCCATGGGGAAAATCCACCTGCCCCACATGCTTTTGCTGTCTACTTTGTGGTTTTCTAACATGTCCTTATTGTGGATCATGTGAAGGGTGTGACTTGATCTGATATTACCTCCCTGGACCTCTGAATCTTCAAGTTCTTATGCCCATGGTCAGTCAAGAAAGGTTTATTAAGAGTCTACTAGGTGCCAGGCACTGGGCAGCTAGGTGGCACTGTGGATAGAGTGCCAGGCCTGGAGTCAGGAAGACTCATCTTCCTGAGTTCAAATCTGGTCTCAGACACTTACTAGCTGTGTGATCCTGGGCAAGTCACTAAATCCTGTTTGCCTCGGTTTCCTCATCTATAAAATGAGCTATCAAAGGAAAAGGCAAACCCCCTCTCTGCCAACACCCCTCTCCCAGAAAAATGGAAGTCATGAACAATTGATCACAACTGAAAAATGACTCCACAACAAATGTGCCAGGAACTATGCTGGAGAATAGAGATATAAAGATAAAAATGAAACAATCCCTGGCCTAAGGGAGTTTACATTCTACTGTGAGAAAGAATGTGTCATACACACACATACATATATATTCTCTTTTAAGATAGAATGTAAACTCTGTTAGGCCAAGGACTGCTTCATCTTTGCCTTTATATCGCTATTTGCATATATACATACATATATATGTGTGTGTGTGTGTGTGTGTGTGTGTATGTGTGTGTGGATATATACACATTTACACAAAAAGAGAATAAATAAATGGTAATTAAATACCAGGTAATTTGAAAGGGAGGGCACTAGGGGTTGTTGTTCATCCTTTGTTCTTTTCTTTTTTTTTTTTCTAGGTAATGGGGTTAAGTGACTTGCCCAGGGTCACACAGCTAGTAAGTGTTATATGTCTGAACGCCAGTTTGAACTCAGGTCCTCTTGACTCCAGGGCCGGTGTTTTATCCACTACCCCACCTAGCCGCCCTCATCCTTTGTTCTTGAAGAGGACCAATGACTAGCAGTAGGAGGCTGAAGAAGGGTACTATGTAGGAGGTAACACTCAAGTTCCATCTTGAAGGTAATCAGGGATGCTATAAGGTAGAGGTGAAGAGAGTGTTCATTCCAGGCCTAGGGGACAGCTAGGGCAAATGTACGGACATGAGAGATGGAATGTCACACGTGAAGGAGAGAAGAGGTCAGTGTGGTCCAGGGTGGCCCAAAAGACTACCCAAAAAAGAAAGTCCTTGAGAATTCCATGAGAATGTTAGGTCACTGTGAGTAGGGATTATTTCATTCTTTGTATTTTAATCTCCAGCACTGAGAATAGTGCCTGACACATAGTAGACACTAAATAAATACTAGCTGATTGATTTAGATATCACAGTGTAAGAACCCCTGGCTAAGGAATATAAATGGGTAAACTCAACAATCTGAGATAAATCACTTAGTTATCTCTCCAATCTCCTAACTAAAAAGGGGTTCATTAACTTCTATATAAGTCTGATGAGCTGTAAAATATGACTTATTATGTGTAGTTAGTCCATGTTCAGGTATATTAGTACTGTTTGTGGCTTCCCTATTGTTGAGTCCAGTCCTTGCAAAGAGAAGGTACCAAATAAATTTTTTTTTTGGTTACACTCACCTGTCTCAGCCATATGTACGTGGTGGCGCACATCTGTAATCCCAGATCCCGGGGAAGGTGATATTGACTAGTCGATCTCTTGAGCTCAAGCCTTCTGATCTGCAGTGGGCTACTGTGATTGGGTATCCATACCAGGTTCAGCATCACTTTGATGAATCCCTGGGAGGACGTCTATGTTTGTGGGAATGTGGACCACCAGGTTACCCAAGGAGGGGTCAATTGGCCCAGGTAGGAAATGGGGCATGTCAAAGTTCCTGTGCTAATTAATGGTGGGATCAGGCCTAAAAATAGGTATTGTTCTTCTAGCCTTGGTGAGGTAGGGAAACCCAGCCTGCCCTAAAATATATATAAAGAATGAATATATATATATATATATATATATATATGTATGTGTGTATATATATATATGTATGTGTGCATATATATATACATAAATGAAATGTCTCCTCAATGACATTGGGAACTTAATGACCTTAGGCCTAAGGTATGCTCTTGTGCCTAGTATGTAATAGATGCCCAATGCAGGAGGCATGCAAAGTCTACTCCTGACTCTCTGCTTTGGGTTAATTTGCTTCTGCGCACAGTCAGACCCCATATATTTAAAAAGATCATAATTAATATATTACATTAAACTCTCTCAATAATTTCATGCAACTGTACAAGGACACAATTTGGCCAATGATTTATAATACCATGCCTATGGAACGCTAATGTTTCACCAAGTACTCTGCTTTTGTGGAATCAATTTGTTTCATTCAGTGAGAATATTCTCACATTTTTACCTGTTGTGGATTTTTAATGCAAAATGAGTTAACACTCTTTTCCTCTATTATTAACTACTGTCTCTGAGCTAGTTAGGAGAATTTCACAGATGGAAGTGACCTTAAAGCTCAACTAGGTCAACTGCCTTTAAGTAACTTATCAGATACTAAGTAAAATATAATTAGGAAGATAGCTTATTGAATTATATTTAGAACTAAACAGGACCTTAAAACTATCTAGGCAGGCCCCTCATCCCCATTTCACAGATGAGAAAACTGAGGCCCAGAAAGACATGCTTTACCCAAGGTTATAATTATGAAAGGAAGAATTTGAACCCATTCCCCCTGATTCTAGAGTCAGTGTTCTTTCTGATTAATCATGAGCCCTCCCTCATGCAAACGGATTGGAATGACAAATGGACTGGTACTGCAAGCATTCTCTCAATTGAGAGCCTGGGTTGTTAGAGTTTTGGATTGTATTAAAACTGGGCATTTTCCTAGATGCATTCCTCTAAAGTATTTCCATGCCAAAACAAAGCTAGGAAGGCGAGCATGGAAGGCTTCTTCAGTACGTTCCCAGATGTAGAAGGGAAATTTAGTCCGATATTAGCTAAAAGGTGCGAGTGAAAAAGTTCTGTCAGTTCCCTTTAAAAAAATTTCACCATTCTTCCCAAAGTCAAACAAAGATGACTTCTAGATACTTACAATTACGGTATAATCTCGCATTTTCTGTTATCTTTTGGGCCTTGAAGAAAAGTGTGGAGGGGACTGCTGTAACTCAAAAAGCAAGACTATTTGCTTTATTCTCCTCACCTGGAGACAGGAGTCACGTAGTTTCCTGGGAAGACTCCAGAGATCCCAGTTCTCAGGGATGTTCCCTTGAACCAGCCATCTTGACACTTCTCAATGACTCGGTACATCTCCCCCTTACGTAGTTCCAACTCATCATTCTTCTGTGGCTTATATGCATAAAGTGCTAGGTATCTGTGGAAGGAAGCCACACACCAAAGGGTAAGGCAAGGTGCTTGATTAAAGAAGAAAGAATAAGGCTACTGGACTTAACTTGTGCTGCCCCATACTCATGGGATGACCTTTAGTGAGTCATCTTACCATCTGATATTGTATATATATAAAAATCAGGATCAAGTGACTTGCTCCAGATCACACAGCTAATAAGTGTTGGAGGCTAGATTTGAACTCAGGTCCTCCTGACTTCAAGACCAGTGTACCATCCACTGTGCCGCCTAGCTGCCCTCATCTAAAGATATTCTTCAAATATGACATCTCTTTTCGGGGGGAAAGTCAGGTATGAACCAAGGAGTTTGTAATGGTAATAGCTAACATGTATATTATGCTTTAAGGCATACAAAGTACTTTTCATTTATTACCTTATTTGATCCTGCCAACCACCCTGTGAGATAGATGATATTGGAAACACAAAGGAGATTGGTCCAGGGTCATACAGTTATTAATTATCTGATTCAGGATTTCAATCCAGGCCTTCCTGGCTCCAAGCCCAATATGCTGGCTACTATATCACCTACCAATGATTTTCCAACTTCAGTTTAGGTGAGGGCTTTCTTTACCCATCTTGCTCTGTACCACCATAGGAGTTTTGATCATGGAGGTTTCAAACTGCTCAAGAAAACATGAATCAATTGCATCTGCCTACGAAGCACAGCAGAAGCATCAAAAAATCTCAGGAAAAATTTTGGGATGAAAATCACTAGACTAACAGATGATTGTTTATTTCATAAGTTGAGCTGACATGATAGTTTCAGGCTCCCTAGGGTCACAAAAGAGTCCAGACCCCTCATCTCTAAACACTTCCCTTATACTTAGAGAATGACCTCTCTTCAGGAGAGTATGGAAGACAATGACAGTAATAACAACAAGCAGAGTATAATAATAATGATAGTGTAAGGCAGAGGGCTATAGTGGAAAGAGCGCTGGCCTTGGAATCAGGAAGGTTTGGGTTTAAGCCTGGCCCCTGACATATGTTGGTTATATAACCCCAGGCAAGTCACTTAACTCAGTATTCGAGGCAGCTAAGACATGAGTGGGGAATCCAGGCCTCAAGGCCACATGTGGCTCTTTAGGTCCTCAAGTGCAGCCCTTTGACTGAATCCAAATTCACAGAAGAAATCCCCTTAATAAAAGGATTTGGTCTGTAAAACTTGAACTCAGTCAAAAGGCAGTATCCAAGGATCTAGAAGGCCTTGAGGTTGCAGGTTCTCCACCCCTGGTCTAAGACTACTAATGGCAGAGAACTGCATTAGTGGAGGGAATTCTTTCACCTGGGAGTTCCATATAGAATTAATGAAATCACAGGTCTAGTCCCTAACCCTAATGCTTATAAAGCTAATAATTATAGCTGATATTTTTATAGTGCTTCAAGATTTACAAAGAACTTAACATACATTATTTGAATTGATCCTTATGACAACCACATAGAGTAGATAGCATAGACATGATTATGCCTCTATTTTAGAGATGAAGAAAGCGAGGGTAAGGAATAAAGTTTACTAAGTAAGAAAAGAAGTCTTTTACGACAAGCTAATGAGTTTCTATCAGTGTATCAGGGTGGAGTAATAACACAGCAGATCTCTGTAGATTTCTTGGATTTAAAAAAAAGCAAACAGGAAATTTTCACATATTTCAAAATTCCTAATCCTACATACCCTAAATACTTTCTTCCTACAGTCAGTTACAGGCAGTTACTTTCTTTTTCTTTCTCTTCCTTCCTTCCTTCCTCCCTCACACTCTCTCCATCTCCCTCCTCCATATCCTCTCTCTCACTTCTTCCTGTCCTCTTCCTTTAGGGACATACCTTGAATAATGAAATAATGACAAATCTTTTCAAAAAGTGAAGGAAATGTAAAGATGAACGTTGAAAATTAAGAATGACTTTTCTCCTTTGGGGAGAATAAGTAAACCTATTATCAAAAAAAAAAATTCCACCTAGATCTTCATGAGCATAAATATTCAAATTTCTGCTGCTATCCCCAGGTGAGGAAAAATAAATCCAAGGTATCTGGGTCCCCTTTTCATGTTTGTTCAATTTTGAGTGCCGTTTGCTGGTAATACTGAAGGATGACTAGAAATAGAAAAGCCATATGAAAATAGAATTTACATAACAAAAGCTAGCGTGACCTTAAAATGGTGATAGTTTCCTATGGCAAGGAGGAGGGGCTCCAGACACACTGCTGAGCTGAGACAAAGAATATATGGGAGAGGAAGGCAGAGAAAGAAGGTCTCTGCCATGACTGGAGGCTTGTAAACCAATAAAAATGATACACAGCTTTTTTATTTCTGATTTCAAGGAAATATAATTGAAGAATAAATCCTGCTTAAGTTTGCCTCATTCTGCCTCTTTATGATGTCAGAAAAATCTTTTTGATTCCGTGGACAGTAAATAAACAGAAGTAATGAACAGAATACCAAGTGTTGGGTAACAGTTCCTTGGGGTGTGCTTAGGTTGATGTGCTTGGCTCCATTTTTCTTGTGCACATGGTACGAGGCCCTAATTAAATAATTATATTGCATTATTCACCAGATGGGAGAAACCATTGTGTATAGTCTTTGTTCATTTTGCATAATCAGGTAGCAAAAACGAGGTCTCATTAACTGCCTGACAGAAAACAAGAGGCTCCATACATCCCCAAGCACGTTAAAATAAAATCTCCTGACTTGAAATCTTCTTGTTCGGTGGTTATCCAGACCTGCCCTATTGGTCTGCTGGAATATAATGGTTGGGTCAAGATAGCATATGGTACCACTGGCTTCATTTAGGCCAATAATTATCTTATCTGTACCATACTGTATTGAACAACAAAAGTAAGTAGTCTCACACGGAAAGGGATGTGTTTACATTTACGAGCTGTGGCGAGTAAAATAAAAATAATATTGCCGAGGGTTCCGGGCTATTGATCTGCTCGGGGCCTGCCACAAACACTGGGAAGCCTCCTCCTTCCTTATTTTCCATATGGGGTGATGCTTTTGGCAAGTTTGGTAAATATTTTCAGATGAAAGGGACACAGAATCTGGGCCCTCCTGCTCTGGTACCCAAGAGTCACCCTCAAAGAGTTTCTTTTGTTTGATCAGAGTCCTGGCACAAGCCCTAAGCCTTATTCACAGCTAGCCCGTATGGTGTCATGTACATGTGTGCCGCAGATCATAAAACACTTTAATGAGAAAAGTCTTTGGTTTCATTGAAATCATATGCAGAGTGTCTCCCACCCCTCAAGTTTCTGTTTTCACTTCTCTGGTAAGTTTTCCTTCTCTTGAGAAGTCTTTTCTAAACTTGTTACCACATAAGTTTCAAGGTGAAAAGAAAATGGTAACCTCTCTAAGCAGGATATTTTTTACTGATTCTAATATCTTATGCAAGGTTTGTATTCTTTTCTCCTATTCAGCTCCCCAGCTAACACTATCTCTCCTACCCACAAAATGTGTGGATTCTTCTGCAGCTGTGTTCTCCTGTGACATCTGAGGCCTACTGGGGGAATTTGGACCAAATGGCACCTATTTGATTCCCTGTCAAGGTGAATACCCATAGAGTGTAGAGGAGGAGCAGCCCCAGGTCCCTCTCTGTTGGAAAATGTAAGGCCCAAGATAAAATTTAGCTGTTGGATATGCTTGGGATGCATTCCTTCCTTACCTCTGACTCAGTTTCCCTTAAGCTGTAGTCAAGGTAGCATCTTCTGCATGAAGGCTTTCCTGATAGCCCCAACTAGACCTCCTTTCCAAACTGCCTTGTATTTAACTTTGTCTGTGTATATGCATACAAGTATGTATGCATACATGCATGTATGTATTGGGCAGCTAGGTGGTGCAGTGGATAGAGTGCTGGACATGGAGTGAGGAAGACTCATCTTCATGAGTTCAAATCCAGCCTCAGACACTTACTATGTGACCCTGGGCAGGTCATTTAACACCTTTTGCCTCAGTTTACAGATTCTTCAATATCTGCTAAATGAGCTGGAGAAGGAAATGGCAAACTGCTTCAGTATCTTTGCCAAGAAAACCCAAAATGGGGTCACAAAGAGTCGAGCATGACTGAAGTGACTCAACAACAAAAATGCATCTATTTACTAGGAGGGAGAAGTTTTCTTGCCCTCTCTTCTTCCTCACCAAGTGGAAAAAAAAAAGAAAAACAGAACTTTTCTAACAAATATGCACAATTAAGCAAAACAAATTCCCACGTTGACTATATAAAAAGTCATGTAATATTCTACTATTTGAGTATCACCTCTGTCAGGAGGTGGGTAGCATGATTCATCGATCCTCTAAAATTGTGGATGGTCCTTGATCAGAGTTCTTAAGTCTGTCCATGGAGTTATTCTATAAATTGCTCTTGTGGTTCTGCTGACTTCACTCAATTCATACGAGTTTTCCCAGGTTTCTCTGAAACCAACTTCCTTTACAACTTCTTTTGCTCTCTCTCACTCTCCTAAATTGGCGGCTAATCTCATTCCAGTGACTTAATTCCTTTCTCTGTAATTCACATAATGAAACATGATAAGTGCATAGTGGGAGAAGAGTGAAGTGGAAATAAATGGAAGCAGGCCCACGGGAAGAATGGGAAGAAAAGCAAAGACCACTGGGGAAACTATCACAAGAAACAGATATAAAAAAAGAGTAGAGAAAAGTCAGCATAAAAAGATGAAACATGAGTGTTGAAGGAATTGTAGGATCAGAGATGTAGGGCTGAAAGAAACCTCACAGGCCACGTAGTCCAACCCCCAACATTTTGCAGTCGGGGAAACTGAGGCCCAGAGAGGGCTGACTTGTCCAAAGCCACGTGTAGAAAGCATCTAGTCTCCTGATTTAAGAGCCACTGCTTTAGGGAGGTGAAGCTCAATCAATAGCAGAGGACAAGTGAAGGGACAGTATGGCATAAAGTAGTGGTCTTGAAACTTTTTAACTGAATACTCTGATGCACAAAAGACCTTTGACTATGCATTCTGCAAACAGTTATATAA